ACTAAGCATAGGACCAGTGTGTGGTATGTGCATTAAAATAACCATTAATATTATTGTAAAGAACCACCAGTGATTGGCCAGATGAAGAGGAAGGGGCTGGAAATTCCAAGCTGAGGGCCAAAGGCCAGAGGTCTGCAGGGGTAGCTCCTTTCTAAGTTTTCCCTACGGCAAAAAAAAAAGTCTGTGTGGGGAGAGGAGGGGAGACTAGAGCAGATGCAGAAGCCAGGTCCTAGAGGGCTGTGTGCTAAGCAAGGGGGTGGGAATTCTGTTCTAAAAGCTTTGGGGAGGGCGCCTGGGTGGCTCAGTCCATTAAGTGTCTGCCATTGACTCAGCTCATGATCCCAGGGTTATGGGTTCGAGCCCTGCATTGGGCTCCCCGCTCAGCAGAGAGCCTGCTTCTTCCTCTCCCTCTGCCTGCTGCTCTGTCTACCTATGTTCTGTATTTCTCTGGATAAAATCCTTAATAATCTTTAATAAAATAAAATAAAAGCTTTGGGGAACTACTGAGGGGTTGAACTGAGTCAAATGTAGTCTCTCCAGCAGCACAGTGGTGTCTGGAGAGGAAGGAGAGAGAGCAGACTTGGGGAGAGCAGTCAGGAGCTACCTTGGCACCAAGCTACAGAGGGAAGGGTTACGTGCTTGTCAGACAACCTTCACTCTGTTAGATTCGGCCAGGTTTTGAGGAACGCATCTGTCCATTTATAGGTCTGCTGCTCCCATCTGTGGTTTTAAATATGAATGTGGGACTATGAGGAGTCCACGTGCTTAGTAGTTTAGGGGCTATGAGAAGTTTTCTTGCCAAAGAATGACTCCTGGAAGCAACTCAGGGCCTTTGGGTGGAGGGGTAGGGAGGTCAGAGCTCTGGGAGAGCTGGATGGAAAGGGGGAGCTCTCGGCTTGCAGGGGCGAGCCCGTCCACCCTTATCCTGGGAACCGGTCCCTCAGGGATTGCTCAGCTGTTTGCTTCCCCGGGGAATAATTTAGTCCCCTACACCCTCTCATCTTCTGTTCCCTCCCTCATGCCATGCATATGGTGGCTGACATTCCCTTTGGGTCACTGCCACCTTAGGCTGACAGAAACGACCACAGAAGTAGCCCAGTGTTTGGTCTCTCTGTGCCTCTGTTTCCCCAGCAATAAGAAGGCAATGATTAGATTCTCCTGAAAAGCGTGCGACCGGAGAGCAGCAGGACTGTAGCTCACACCAGAGGCTGTCAGAGTTCTTATTTGCCGGGCAACCCTTGTCAGAGAAGAGCCCGGATGTAACACAGAGAGAAGTGGGTCTGCTCTTGACGGAGCGGGGGTGGGTGGGCCCAGTCTTCCTCCTCTCTTGCCCCTGTTCCATCCAGTAGGGTCAGAGGAATACAAGGACCCCTCTGAGTCTGTCAGAAAGTCAGAGGCGGATGTTTGAGGAAAGCTGTGGGTCGGATGTGAATGATAGGCAGACAGTGTGGATTTTCTCCCACAGGCGCCTTGTGAGCCTTCTGGCCCTTTGACGGAATTGTGTCCAAGTGACCCTAAGGGGACTGAAGGCAGAGACTCTGTCTTATTCATCCCGGATTATGTCCTCAGTACCAATATGAGTCAGTTGAGGGAAGGAAGTCTCTGTGGTTAATTTAGCAAATAACTCCTTTTGAGGATACTAGTTGCGTCTTAAAGTCAGAAAAAGTTGTTTTACCCCAAATCGGCAGTTGGCTCTCTTTTTGCTTGCTGAAGTCTGGCCCCCTGTGCCTAACTCTCCAGTCTAGCAAGACACTGGAAAGCCACAGAATGGGCAGGTTCACTCGAGCCGCCCCATGTGATGGCCTGTGGGAGCTGGAGGCCACGTGCAGCCCAGTCCCCGTGGGGCAGAAAAGTGGCATCCTGTTCATACAAGAGGCCACACAGGTCCTTCCCTTTCTAGCAGCCAGGCTCTCCTCACCCCCTGGGCATCATTTGATACCGCTTGCTGGACATCTCCTTAAAGTGTGGTAATGGGCACCCACACTTGCATATTAGCGCGTCCCTTCACCTGATAAATTTGTGCATGTCTGATATACACCACGCTTAATATACCCCAAGCCTTCCTCATCTAGTACCTTATGAGATTATCATAGAAACCCTCACAGTAAGTACTGTTGCTGTCACCATCTCATGGATACAGAAGCGAAGTCACTATACTACAGAGATAGTCAGTACGTGAGATAGTCAGTATGTAACTTGCCCAAGATCACTAAGGTCAGTAAAGTCAAGTAACTTTCTCCAAGTCACATAGCTTCTGAGGAGCAGAAGTGGTTATTTTCTCTTCTTCTTTTGGAAGAAGTTCAGGGCTCTTGGAGAATTTATGTTCCGGTGGGCTCAAACAGCCTGAGCTCTATCTCCCAGAAACTTCCATACCATTCCTGGGTCCTGGTGAGAGCTTACCTCCTTAAGTCCTAGACCCCAGGACACATGAACGCTGCTTGGCCCTTAGAGTTCTCAACTTCTTCCAAAATAAAAACAAAAGGGGTAACAGCTAGATGAGCAGCAGGACTGACTTCCAAGTTGCTCTTTCATTCTCCAGTGGTTGATACTGTCTGCGAGAGTCCTTTGACTCCAAGTGGCTGTGCTGTGTTCATTACGTCTTCATGTGGATAAGGCTTACGGTTGAGTTTCTAGAAGGCAACGGCTGTGTCCTAGTCTTTGGACCTGCCGAAGTTCTTAGTAACTTCTGGGGCAACTCTCAAGTACTTAGGAAAACATTAATAATTATTTTATATATCTTACAATATCATATTAACGTATTAGTACTATTCATAACACTAATCGTCTTTCCTGAGCACGAGCTGTGTGCAGGACACTGAGTCAGACATTCTACAATCCATGATCTCATTTAATCCTCACCATGACCTGCTGGCTTTTTTGGCTGTTTTCTTATGACCATCCTGCACATGACGGCAGCAAGACTCAAGGTCACGGGGTTGCTAACTGGGCGGTTCAGCTAACCTGTAGCGGAGACAAAGGTTACAGGAACTTGGGAGGCAGCGTGTGCCGCTCCTGGTTTTTCCCTTCTCGGCCTCCCTGAGCAGGAATTACGACTGGACAGGGCGCTCCCTCCAGCCTCACTTTGTCTGCTGCCCGACACCCGGCATTCTTCTCCACTTGCTCTGCCAGGACACAGAGTATAGGGGTCCTTCCAAAGAGCTCTTGGAGAAAGTGTGTTGTGAGAGCAACTGTCGAACCTTCGGGATGGGGGCTGGAGAAAAGAACGCCTGAGCCAGTGACAGCATAAGGTGCACCGACAGTCTCTTGACGGCCTTCTTAGGGCCATCTTGAAAGCTGCTTCCCTCCTACGGACAGTCGTGATGAACTAACTAACCCAGAGTAAGAGGAATGACAGGTTGACTTGCCTTTCATTTGTTTTCCATAATAAATGGAATATTTCCTTGAACACTAGAAGTCATTAACATTTCAATTTATTCATGCTCTTTCTCTCTGGCATCCTGATGGCAATGTTACATAATTACACCTGCCATATAGCTATCAACTTTGACGGCCCTTTGTGTGCGCATAAGCACCTGCTCCCACTGCCTTTGTTAGCCTGTTGGCTTGAGGAGGCAGTCGGCTGGTTTTTGTTGTTGTTGTTGTTGTTGTTTTTGTTTTTTTACACTATCCTACCTTCTTTCTGCATGTGGATTGCTAACTAGGGAAGCAAGGCCAGTGAGTTAAGTGACGAGGGACTGGGCGGGGATCCAAGCTAACTCTTGACGTGTACGAGGCGCTGTTCCAAGCATTTTACATCTATTAACTTATTTCATCCACTGACGACCTCAGGACTGAGTCTCCAAGATCACCACGTCCACTTCTAACGAGGAGGAAGCCGAGCTCCTGAGAGACCGAACAACTAGCTCAAGGTCACACTCAGTTAGGAAGTGGCCCAGCAGAGCCGACAGGCGCTGACCCCACAGCCTTCCTCACCACATCACGTCCCTCCTGGGGACCAGGGGGTCTAGGCAAATATCAAAGGCCTCTCCGACCCAGCTTTCTCCTCTGTGCCCTGACTCTGTCTCTCAGACAAACTGGTACGGCCGCTGTGTCGGGTCTCTGGGTTAAAGAGAGTGGGAGAAAAGTGGCAACGTGGTAAATGAGCATGATTAAGTCCTCTGTCCTTGAGTCCAACCTCCCAACTTCAGATTCCGTGTAAAAGGCCCGTGGCCTTCAAGAAGTCGTTAGGTTTCAAACACACGCAGGTATGAGCAGGCATATATTTTAATGAGCAAGTTCAAAATGCCCCCCCACCCCAGGTTTTGCCGTTTGAAGATCAGGATGGAGGCCATGAGCAAGGTCATCAGGCACTCCCGAAAAGCAGGGCACTTTCTGAACGTAGCGGCATCGCTACTCTCAATCACAGCTGGATTTCCAAACCAGTTTCCGCAAACCAGACCCTGAGGTTTTCCGGGTGCGGCTGTGCCTACGCACCCAGTGCTGGCCAGGCCCGTATGTTGGGAGTGGACTTAAGGTAGCAGGGGAGACGTGTGTCTGTTTCCTTTAAAGTGGTACATCAAAAGCATTATGTCTGTGCTTTTGGCCTTAGAAGTACAAACCAAGGCTACTGACGTGGGGAGGAAAAGAGACTCAGAGCAATATTTTAATTTTAGCAAACAGACCTTACCGTCAAAGAAATTGCCCTCTTTAATTCATTAAAAATTACTGCATTCCTTTCAAATGAGAATAAAACTAATATTCCTTAATGCTTGCTCATCATTAATATTATGCCAATTATTGCATTACTTGTGGTTGATAAATATTCAGAGGATACATGGAGCCCACAAGACGGATTAGTTCTCCAGCAGTGCAAACAAAAACTTTCAATATTTTATATCACATAATTAAATGCTGTTTGTTGTTTCTAGAACCAGAACTTGGGACATGTTAATTAATTGCTTTGAGAAGATAGTTAGGTTTCATGGCTGATATTTGGAATCAGACCTTTGTAAGCCCTGCAAAACACTGCTGATGAATCACACTTGCAGAATAAATCCTACCTGCAGAAGTCTGGGGGCACCATACCATACACATTGATCCTGTCACAGAGCTCTAGCGCGATCGTCATTGTGAACCAGCCAGTGCTGAGCCAAGTGTTGGAGATCTTCCTGGAAGGAACAACAAAGAAGTCCACAAGCTGCTGAAGTCATCATTACAACCACGACCATCTTAAATCCTTTGGGGAGCAAGGCTGACTCTCTCTCTCTCTATCCAGTTGGTAAACAGCTGAAATTTTACCAGGCAGAAATCTCTCACCAATAGCATCATATTCCACAGTAAGTGATAAATGACATCCATTTTCCGCCATGGTGAGTTATGACAGGAAAGGGTGCTCAAGCAACTTCTACATCATCAGAGATGATGAGAGTGTTTCAGGGAGTAAGGGTGTACAACCACAACCCAAGCTCTTTAAGGTGACAATCCCCACGTGTCAACTCTTTCTTTATTAACTAGAATACTTGACTAATTAGAAATATTCCTTGTTCCCCAAGCAGGCTGAATGAGAGATTATTAAATATGCATAAACACACAGATGTGACTATGTATTGACTAATATCTATTGATCGATTAAACAATCATGGGGTAAAAGCTTGCCTTCAGTTAGACTAATTAACATTGACATCTTGATTGAATGTCTTTTCTTTTAGGAAGAGTGCATTCATTTGGGAAAGGGCTAATTACTAGAGGAAAAGGACCACAGGAATGCTTATGCTTAATTGAGCATTTGCTTTATTTTACCTCAGAACATCCAGAGCTCTCTAAAACTTTTTTTTTATTAGAAGACTGAATTGACAAAATTTAAGGAGTGAATGTGTGTGTTCCTAAATTCATTCGTTTGCCCATTCAAACACCTGTGCTGAGCTCCAGCCACGTGCCACGCCTAAGGATAACTGTGGAGATGTAACATCAAGGTCTAATTTGACCCTCTGAGAATGACTCGGTCTACCATTGCTTTGCTGCTGTGGATATTAATTTCAATTCTTAGGGGGTTGCGGCTTCTGCTTTTTTTTCCCAGTGCTTATGGTATGCCTCATTAGCCGGTTTCAAACACCTTATTCCCAAGGTCAGACTGTCTGACTTTGCCTGGCCATAGCGCCATATGTGATGTGAATACCAGAGTTGCTGAAAAGCTTTTCTGCTTGCATTGTGTAGCACCCCTCTTTGAGAAGGAAGAAAATTTTTTGCAAATCGTTTTGCATTATTTCCATTTCACATATGGGCCCCCCCAATCCCACAAAAAAACTATAAAAGCAAAGAAGCATAATAAGGAGTCTTTTATCTTGTCAAATACATGACAGGAATGGGTGATGCAGTCATGACTGAGTTTGTGGTTTCCACTTTGTAGTTCTTAATCCCTTTACTCATTTTAGCTTTCCATAACATTGTCCCCTGACCCAGTATTAGCCCAGGGAGTACATTTTTTTAAATTTATTTTTTATTTTTGTAAAGATTTTATTTATTTATTTGACAGAGAGAGAGAGAGACAGTGAGAGAGGGGAACACAAGCAGGGGAAGTGGGAGAAGGAGAAGCAGGCTTCCCGCTGAGAAGGGAGCCCGATGCGGGGCTCGATCCCAGCATCCTGGGATCATGACCTGAGCCAAAGGCAGATGCCTAATGACTGAGCCACCCAGGTGCCCCAGGAAGTACATTTTCAAAGCTCCTAAGGAGGAGAACATCATGGGTTTGTACGTTGGCTGTTCTACCACGGGCCAGCGGAATGATCTGAGGTGGGTTATCGCTCATCGCTCATGAGCCCGAACTGCCCATCTGTAACGCAGGCCTGGGCTTCCTGAGCTACTCTGGGGACTAAGTGCGAGAACACCATAAAAAGAGTCTAGTATGGTGTGTTGATACATCGAGACCCCTTCCTCCTCTCTTGGTTGACAGATTGGGGCAAATGAAGCAAATAATTCAGCCATTGCTTTCAGTGTTTTTTTTTTTTAGCATCCCTGAAGAAATTGCTATCCTTCCAACTCTGCTGCTGCCTCTGGTGTGGGATCCACCATCAATCATCAGGGCAGTAAGGACGAAATTCTGGAGCCTCCAGCCTACAGAGCTATTAACGATCCTCTCCTTTCTCCCCAAGGCTGTATATTCATAAGAACTCTGGGACTAAGGGAGCCTGGTGGCTCAGTCAGTTGACCATCTGACTCTTGATTTTAGCTCAAGGTTGTGATCTTAGGGCCATGAGATCGAGCCCTGTGACGGGCTCTGTGTTGGCTGTGAGACACTTGGAATTCTCTTTCTCCCTCTCCCTTCCTACCCCCCTCTCTTAAAAAACAAACCAACCAACCAACCACTATGGGACTGAAGGAGGTGAGGCAGAGCAGAGCTAGCTGACTGAGGAAGGGAAAGGGGAAGGTCTCTTGCCTCAAGTTAGAATCTGTCTTCACCCGCCGGGCTGTGTGGTGCAACGGCCAAGTGTTCTAAACTCACACTGGGTCAGAGAATAACTGAGAAGCTGGGAGGCCCAGGAAGAGACTGTGTCCCTGTGCTTTCAGGGTTGTGGGCAGCGCCAAGAGGGTTCTCCCTGTGGCAGAAACTCCCCGTTCTCTTGGCTTTCTTTTGCGAGATATAGTAGAGACTGTCAGGCACAGCCAGAAATACTAGAGAGTGTGGCTCTACAGAAAGAGGTTTCGTGGGTAGCAATGGGGGAGAATGCGTAGTGAAGGACAAAAGAAGCCCCCGTGATGAGTTCTTTCAAGTACCACTTAGAATTCCCCAGACCCTGGAAAGAGTAGCCTTCTGGGATCACGTGCTATCCAGCTGCAACTGCCTTGTGCTGTCGTTCTGAAAAGATCTGAATTCTTTTTCCAGCAAAGGAATATCTACTGTTTTTACACTTAATCAGCTATAATGAAGGAATATGAAGAGCTGTCATGTGCTTATTAGGGAAAATGATCAGATATTCTTTTATATGATGAAGTAACACACGGAGCTGATAATTCTATAGTGCACACTAAATTACAATTAAAGCCCTTTCTGCTCCACCAGAATCTCATTTATAATCTCTATGGAAATATTCTTCCTGCAGTTATTTCATTTATGCTTCCTTTATCTAATTACTATAATATTGGTTCTGAATCATATTTTCCTAATATACCCTTATTCAATTAGAAAGTTACTTTCAAGTACAGTTACTTTCTAATATCCAAGAATACCACTTGGCCATCTCCATCATTTGTCACACTTCTTAATTGCAGATCCTTCCTGGGCCATATTTCCCCCTCCACTTTTAAGTAGAGTGAAACTTCTATAAATCAAAATCTATTGAATTATTCTGGTTCCCCCCCCCCCCCAAATAACAGCCTGAATGAATGTCCTGATCATGAAATGTACAAAATTAGACATTCTACATTTTGGGTACCTGTAATACATCTTCCTGTTTGTCTGGGTTTCAAGGAACGCATACAGAGAAGAAATATTCTTGGACCCCCTGCATGTTTTGTGTTTTAATGTTCAGAAACACATTTGTTGTGAGGGGCTATTTCTACCTTGGTTCTCTTAGCTTGGAGTATCCACGTTAAGAACACGGGCACATGAGAATACTGAGTCAATACAATATTAGCCTCTTTAAGACAGGTTCCTAAAGGTAAGAGGCACAGAGATTCCAGAAGCGACAATGTCATTTGGCACCCTACACATCCATAAGTGTGATTCCCCTGAAAAGGAACTGTATGGAACCTTGTAGATGGATGTCTGCATGTGAGAGGCCCAGTAGCCAGTACACAAAGACTTGGTTCCTCTACCAGCTGGGTTCACCAGAGAGACCGACCCACAGAACAAAGTTTTCACTGGTCAGAATTTAATAAGCTTAGTGAAAAAGATATGTCTCCATGTGAGCGTGTTTCCTGAAGATCTAAGTGACCAAAGGGTGGAGTGATTGGTCTCCAAGTTACCAACTTAAAATAATCCCTTAAGAAGATGCAGGGCAATGTGTAGTTACCTTAAATAGCTTAGACTGCAGCCACGTTTCAGGAATTCTTAAATTTAATAAACAACCATTAAACTACAAAAAGCGAAAGTGTTTTCTATTGAGGAGTGTTACTACTTATTTCAAATTTTCCAACCAGCAAAAATGAAACTGTAAATAACTCCTCTCATTCTTCTTCCCTTATAAAATGCTCTGATAGTTAAATAACTCATTCAAATGTGTGACAGTCCCTCTGATTTGTGGTTTTTACAGGGTAGTAAAATTGGATTTCGTGATGACCAGGATCCCCTATGTGATCCGCTGGCTGGGCTTACCAGAGAGGCCGCTGGGCCTGTAGGGAAGGAGGCCACAGGGCCAGCAGCCAGCTCTCCCCTCTTTTGTCCATCACGTGCCATGCTCACCCTGGCCTGGACCTGCTTTTAAATGGTCCCAAGGTTTCCAGAATTTAAAAAGAATGGTCCTCCACACAAAGAAGTTGGGGCAAAGCTTTGGTCTTTCTCTAAGACCCTGCTCTCTGATAGTACGTTCCCCAACCTAGCCTAACCGTGGATTTCATACTTTAAGTTCTTCATTTCGTTTATCATGTCTTTTTAGTTTTAAGAAATCAACCCAGAAACAGTTTTTGTAAAGACAGGAGGTAAATTATATCATTAAATATATATTAATTATAAAATTACATGTTTTAGAATTAAGGAAACAAATTTAATCATCAGACCAGTCCTATGAGCCTAGTTGCTATGCCCTTTTCTCAGCTGAGGTCACTGCAAGGTTAGATAACTTGTCCAGGGTCACGTAACTAGTGAAAGATAGAGTCAGAATTCCAGCCTCAAGCTGTGTATTTAGACAACACTGCATCATGCCTTTTGATACCTAGCTGTCCTTTCTTTTTCACCTAGATTGGGCCAGCTGGTGGCCCTTCATCTTGGCCTCCTCAAGGGCCAGTCCACCCCCACCCCCACCAGTAGCCCTTGGGATTGGAGCCTTAGAGGGCTTTTCTCCAGCCCCTTGTCTGTTCTCTCACCTCCGAGCCCTGGACCCACAGGGAGGTTTCCCTCCCCTTCCCAGCTTCTTCTTCACCTGGATAAATACTTATTGGCCCAGGTCTCAGCTTAACTATATCCTTTGGAGAAAGTCTCTTCCTCATTCCCTCATTTCCTAGATCAGTGCTTTTCAAAATATTTTGACCTATAATAAGAAATAACATTTCACATCACGACTGAGCTTATACACATATGTGCATGTGTATGGTTTTCATTTCATTTTATTTTTTAAAATGTGTTAATTCAGGGACACCTGGCCAGCTAAGTTGGAAAATCATGTGATTTTTGATCTTGGGATTGTGTATTCGTGCCCCACACGGAATGCAGAGATGACTTAAATAAATAAAACTTAAAAAAAGTGAATAGAAGCACCTGGGTGGCTCAGTGGATTGAACGACTGACTCTTGGTTTCACCTCAGGTCATGATCTCAGGGTCCTGAGAATGAGCCCCGGGTCGGGCTCCAAGCTCAGCAGGGAGTCTGCTTGAGATTCTCCCCTCTCCACCCCCCACCCTGGTCCCTCTGTCCCCTATGCCCACACCTGTTCTCTCTCTCAAAGAAATAAATGAATAAAATCTTAAAAAACATGAAGTGTGTAATTCAGTGGTTTCTTTTTTGTGTATTCACAGGGTTGTGCAATCACCACCACTGTCTAATTCCAGAACATTTTCATTACCCCAGAAAACCTTATATGTGTATTTTTATGTGGGATGACTGCTGATATTGTTTGTTCTAGTCCATCTCATTCCATTCCATTCTATCCCACTGCGTTTAAAACAATAATCTTACAGTGACTCACTACATTGATTTCACGTCCCATTACTGAGCTGTAATGGATAGTTTGGAAAACCTGGCCCTAGACCATGGCAGGTCTCCCAGTCCTGCATGTCACAGCACCATTTTCTTTCCTTTGCTTGATGCTTAGCACGTGGGCCACTGCTTGGAGAATGCTTGCCCACCTGGTGAAACTTTATATTCCGGGAAGGGAGGGCCTAGATCTCTGCTGTTTTCGACTGTATCCCCAGTGCCTGCTACAGTGGAGGGGTAGCTACTCATCAAAAATCCATGCACTGGGGGCGCCTGGGCGGCTCAGTGGGTTAAGCCTCTGCCTTCAGCTCAGGTCATGATCTCAGGGTCCTGGGATTGAGCCCCACATCCGGCTCTCCGCTCAACAGGGAGCCTGCTTCCCTCTCCCCCTCTGCCTGCCTCTCTACCTACTTGTGATTTCTGTCTGTCAAATAAATAAATAAAATATTTTTAAAAAATCGATGCACTGAATGCATGTTTGCTTCGAAAGGGAAGAATAAACTCATACCCTCCTTGAAGTTGGTATTCACACAAGTAAAAGGAAATGCAACAAAACTATTATCTTGCACTTACTACCAGGGTAAGCGAGCAACTGTGTAGCCTGCTCCTCCCAAATAAGGACTTGGCCTTGAATTACCCATGCAGAGTCTTAGTGCTTCGCTAATTTGGTCTTAATGAGTCCGGTTTGAGCAGTTGGGCGACCAGCGCCCCCTGGAGGCGAGCGCTACCAATGGCAGGAGCAGCGGGGCCCCCACAAAAAGCCTCAGCCAAAGTTTTGCTTTGGGTGACTGGGCCAGCAGGGCGGCCAAGGGCGCGGACGCGTCCTCGCCCTCCCTCCCCGGCGGCCCCGCCCCGCCCCGCCCCGCCCCGCCCCCTACCTGTCTTTGCCGGTCTCCCGCTTGAAGAGCTCGTCGAACTGCAGCATCTTGTGGCGCGTGGTCATGAAGGCCTTCAGCCGCGGCAGCACCTGGCTCAGGAGCTGCAGGTTGTTGTAGACCTGGCCCTTGCCGTCCCTCCGCATGTAGCTGCTGGGGCCCCAGAAGATGAACACGGTGCCCTGGCTCACGTTGAGCAGGTCGTGGCGGTTGCGGAGGATCCTCTGGATGCTGGAATGCGCGATGACCCGCAGGCTGGTGCGGCTGCCCACGTCGCGCCCGTAGCCGCGCGTCGGGGCGTCATTCATGCGGATGACACACTCCGTCTGGTCTATTTGGGGGCCTTGCCGGCTGCGCAGCAGGTGCCCCGAGCTGGTCACCAGGGCACAGTCCCCGCAGTGCATTTCCAGGGGCTAGAAGGCAGAGGGGGAGGGACGCCATCAGCAGGCCCTCACTTGGCACCAGTGGGTCATTTCGCTGCCGCTGAAGGCTGCCGGGCCTCCCTCTCCCATCTCCCATGCCAGCATCTATCCCTGCTGCTGGCGTCTCATCAGCCCTTTCCTTCATTCTCTCCCAGAGCAGATGGCAAGACCGCAAGAGGGCTTGCACTGACCTGTCAAACCCTGGGCTCTGGGCTTTACTGATATTGAATAACCAAAACCCCATATCAACCCTGCAAGGTCGCTGTCACTGCCATTTTACAGAGGGGCGATGGAAAGAAATCCGCCCAAGGAGGCATAACTAGCAAGTACTGAAGTCACGCCTTCAAACCCAGGTCTTCCTGAATCCAAAGTTACCCCCAAAATGAAGTAAAGACTACACTACCATTTGCTCTGACACGAGCTTGGAAGTTCTTAAGTCACCTTATTGAAAGTTAAGTGCGTATCAATATTCTTGGCTGCTGTACAAATATGTTTATCCTGAATAAACATTGCCTAAGAATCACATGGCAGGGGGAGGGGGGAAGACATCCATGTTGTAATCTCTCAGATGCCATAATTTTGAAAGGACAACTAGGATAGTTTCTCTGTTTTAAAAGGACAGGGCGCAAGACCGAGTTAGTCCATCTTCAAAAATGTAAAAACAAAACAAAACAGAACAAAGCAAAAAAAAAAAAAAAAATTCTCAAGCTCAGAGCACCGACCTCAGCCGGTGAACACGTGCCCTGTGGAAGCCCACCAGGGACAACTCCAATGACAAGGTTCATTTCAACACCTTGAACCAATGATTTGCTTTCTGAACGCCTACGTTCCCACACATTAAACATTCCCCTGTTCATGTTTAATGAGAAATATCTCTTAGTTGCTGTTTGCAGATAATGTAATTAGGGCCTGGGGTCAAGGCTGGCAAGTGCACAAGAAAATGACAATCAAGAATGGTCTGAAGGAGAGCTGCATTGTTACACGTGCCCCAGAGCCTCTGCCCTTCATCCCCGTGAGCACTGAACAGGACACGCTGGCTCCCTGCCTGGTTTCGGGAAGTCGGATCCCGCTTAATGCTTCTATTTACCCTGGGAGTTTCCTGAGCCACAGCTCTGCCTTCAGAACCAGACAAGGGAACCTGAGGACAGCCACCTTCCCACACTGCATGGTCGCCAAGGGCACCAGCTCTGGGGGGTTATACGACTGGTCCAGCCTTGTCTCCATTACCTATTAACTGTGGGACCTTGGCAAGCCACTGACCTGTGAGAATCTCGGGTTTCTCATCTTCAAATGAGGATAACAAATGCCCCATTCTATCTTGGTTGAATGAAAATGCACACAGTATTAGACCGGGCCATTTGAAATTGCCAGTATTTGAAAAATAGCAGTTGCGGGGGTGGGGGGGGGGTGAACCCAGTCCTTACATAGGAGCTGGCGCGGTGATCATTGGGTAATGAGACCGTTCTTGGGATTACCTGTCGGAGTGGAATGATTGCAGACACTCACTAAGTCAGTGCTGATCACTTCGGGTTGATAATTGACGTAGAAGCTTATGAAGTGGAGATTCTACCGTTGCAAATTCTCATCATTCATTTGACACCCAATTACTCTTAGGTGACAAGCGCTATGATGGGCAGTGAGAATGCAAATGGAATGCAAAAACAGAAACCCCTCGAAGTTTACACTTTAGTGAGGGACAGTGGGTCAGTCAAAACATGCAATAAAGTGTGAGAGGATGAGGACTGTGCGAAAGCCTTAGTCAAGGGGGCTGTTTAGAGCACAGCAAGGCGGGGGTGGGGGGGACAATGGAGAGAGAGACCACCTTTGCTACTAGCAATGAGATGTCTTTATGGGCCAGACACTGTTCTGAGCTTTTTATGTAATTGCATCAATTCCTCAAATAATCCCATAAGAAGGGTATTATATTATCACCCCTATTTTACTAATGAGAATATTGAGGGATAGGGAAAGTAAGGAGCTTGCTCAAGGCCATACAGTTAGGAAGTGGTAGAGCTGGGATTCAAACCCAGGAAATCAGACTGCAGAGCCCGTGGGATTAACCATCACAGCACCACGGTGCAGTAGAATAAATCGAACACGTGCCATGAAATGTCTTCTTAAGTCGTTGCCTTCTTTCCTTCCTCTTTCAACCCCAGAAGCTCGGTAATGCTGTGTCTTAACCAGTAGTGTTATCTCTTTTAGGGCACGGGGCCGTCTGGATGCAGTAAAGTGACAAAGGTCTTGTATCCAATATGTCCAATCCTTGGGGCCCCGTTAACAGTAGACCCCATCCATCTAGAGCCTTAAGTGAAGGAGAGTAGAAGGTACTTAAGACCAATCTTCCTGGGATGCCTGGGTGGCTCAGTCAGTGAAGCGCCTGCCTTTAGCTCAGGTCATGATCCCAGGGTCGGGCTCCCTGCTCCTCGAGGAGCCCGCTTTTCCCTCTGTCTGCCGCTCCACTTGCCTGTGTGTGTGCACTCTCTTTCTCTCTCACAAATAAATAATATCTTTAAAAAAAAAAAAAGATCTTCCTATGAGGAATAGCTGCATTACAGATGTGTAGAAAGTGGTCCCCATTCCTCTCCTCCTGGAACCCGGAGCCAGAAGCCCGTCTGAATCCCCTGAATGAACTGCTGGGGGTGAGGAGCAATTTCATGGGCCAAAGGATGGGGGAAATACTTAGTTTTCTTTTTTCTGATTTTGTCTGAACACCCCACACAGAAAGGATGAAGAGGGAAAGTCAAATGATCTGTTCAACCATGGAGTTCCTATCATGTCTCAGGCACTGAACTTGGTGATATAGATAAAAAGATCCTGACCTTCCTCTCAGGGGGGCACCCAATCTAAGTGAGTGTGCTCCTAGATAAGCAATTACAGGACCGGGGAGTAAGTGCTAGAATCGATTAGGCACAAGGGGCCATGGGACCAAAGGTGAGGGAACATTGGAGCTGGTCTGGAGGAGCTGGAGGGGTGAGAACCAGGAAAGGACAGAGCAAAGGGAACCAACAGATGAGGTAACTTTGAAGAGGTGGTGGTCGATGGGGTCACAAGACATGAGAGGATAAGTGAAGCCAGACTTGGAAAGCATTCTCTGGATTTGGAGGTGTTGGCCACAAGACTCTCAGTTGAACTGAAGGGGCAGAGCCTGAGCCCGGTTGGCCAGGAGGGATGTGGAGGTGGGAGCTTGGCGGTGAGGGCTGGTGGAGGGTCAATGGCGGAGCAAGAGGATCTGCAGGGCAGACTCGGGCACTCAGGGTGACCAACCCACCCAATTTGTTAGGGGTTGTTTGGGACATATTGGAAAGCCTGCATCCTAGGAAACCTCTACTTGTGGGGAAACCCATTAAAAAATGTCCTACAAGATTGACAGGGGTATCTGCAAATATCATGTTCCTCTGTGATGATTAGGGTCAGGAGACCCAGGGTCTGAATTTTATGTCGGGTCCTTAGCGTTCTAACTTGTAAAACAAAGAGGAGATCAACTAGATACTTGTGGCCACATGACATTCATTCGTTCATTCATTTAAAGACACTGAGCACTCAGTACACCGGTGAGGTACCGTGTAATTCAGTACGTTTGTTTAATAAGGTCACTTCGTAGGATTTCATTTCATTGGACCCTCAGGCCATTGGAACCTGCTTTTTCTCATCAGACTCACCCTGAATTATCATCTTGAATTTTCTAGCATGACTGCTAATTACAAGACATTGTGCTTATTTTTACTGGGGAAAACATTCTGAAGAGAAGTCTCTGCATCTCTCTCCCCCATAATTAATTATTCTGCTGTGATTCTCAGAGCATAGGCTGTTTGACAGGTGAACCCAGTGTCACCTATGGAAATTCCAGTGCCTTCTGTCTCCCGCCTCTGTGCATGTGAGATGAGCAGAAGACCCTTCCAGGGAGGGCAAAGGTTCCTGACTGTGCCCTACTGATCCTCTGTGGTCACTGGCCACCACCCACATACACTGGGTCCGCCTAGTCCAGAAATCCCTCCCTCATGATTCCTGCCCATCTGCCAGGGCTCTGAGGGATTGATTACCTCGGGTGACAACCCCCACTCTTTGCCTTGTGCAGATACCAAACAATGAGCAAAAGAGTGAAGTCTGAATTATGCCTTAAGTGTCTTTTGGTAAGTGGTGCCAATAAAATGACAATAGCGGTTCTAAACAGAATGTTACATTTCCCGCAGCTGAGAAGAGCGCGTACCAAAGGTTGAATCACTTCCAAAGGAGGAAATGAAGTCTGTTTTCTGCCTTTGGAAGGAGAGATGATGTCTGGGGAGGCAGGATGACTAGAAATTATGCAAATTCCATGACCCTGTTTCTCAGGATGCGTTATGGGTCCTCTGAGAGAGCCACGCTCCTCCACATCCCAGGATGATTATAATCCTTGGTGTCTTAATGAGAAGGGTGGAGATACACATGCCTTGGTGAGTTAGGATTCCTGATGCCGTATTCACATGTTCCTCCATTAAGCACTCAGATGCTGGGTTCATGAATCACCGAGCAAGAGAACAGGAAAGTGAACTTGCAGCTCTGTTAGCGGGTCTGGGAGCTAAAGTTCCAGGGAGAAGGCAGGAGCGCAGGCAGCTCCCGGGAAACTCACTGGCTAGCCAGGCCTCCTCTCTGACTTCCTCCTCACTAGTGCTCAGTCCCTTGATTCTCGGACATTTTCCTTAAAGCCCCATTTAGTGAGGTATCCCATCCTTTGGTAAGACACACAGACGCCCATATTTGATTACTCTAATATGTATCTAATATTGATCATCTCTCTTGCTTCCCGACCCCATAAGAGGCACTCAATTAACACTGAATAATAGATGGGCAGATTGGTAAATGAGTGAATGAGACCCAACGGCCTGCCTTGTCTGTTCTCTGAGAAAGCCACCCTCTTGAGACATAAAGAGAAGACACGATGTGGTGCCCTAACTAGGTGTTTGCCTAAAGTCCCCAGCCCTGTGTACTAGATGCCATGGGGAGAAGAAGGCGGG